TGGTATCATGGACTCTACTTATTCGAGGCTCGCAGAAACTAGCCCACTGATGAGCATTCCGGAGCCCTGCTTCGGATGCTTAACCGAAATCCATGAGTAAGTCGCCAGATATCTGGAATGATCTCCCCGGGGTACTCTGACGCCTCTCCATACCGTCCTCTAGATGGAGCCTCCGCAAGCCGAATGATGGTAGAATCCAATTGGGCTTATTCAATGAAAAAAGGGTTTTCGGGTACTTAGAAAATCTGTCTGTGAAATCTGAAGAAAATCGTCATATATCTCCGTCCCAACTGATCCTTTTTCCGATCTGACTAGCACAAATGAAAGCTCTCAGACTCAGCTTTCCAACGCGCCTTCGATCGTCGCTCTACGACGAACCGTTCCGGAGATACAGCTCTCTGGAGTTGGTCGCCGAAGCGATTTTCAAAAAGGGGCACATTTCCTGCGAGACCCTTTTCAATGTTTTTGCGAATATAAACTGAACGGATCGACCGATTTTGCTCTGCTTGGTCTCAAAATGCTCGTAAAAGCCTCCTCTATCGAATTGTCGAGGTCAGACCGCTTCAAAGGTCCTAGTTTTTCCGTCAAGTGCTTCCTAAGAGGTCCCTCTCCTACTTTTTTCTTCTTTTTTTTAATTTCCGATGGCTCTAGCTCAGAGACCACTGCTACGAATCGCACCAAAACTCGGCCAGGTATAGCCCCAACCGAGGTCTATCCGCCGCCAAAGTTTCATCGATCTAGTCCACTCAGGGGCGGAGCTAGAATTTTTTGAAGACGAAAAATGGCAAAAAATCGGAAAATTGAAATTTCGGGAAAACTAGACCTGATGGAGAAAATCTGTTACGAAATTCGGATTCAGCGCCCCCGGTTTACCCCGAAATAGCTATCACTTTCTTTGTAACGATTTGGCTGTCGAGCTGTGTAATATGTCGACTGTGAAGTTTGTTGAAGATCCCATACGTGTGACAGCTCCTGTTTTATTCCTCTACATCACTAAAATGGGATTTTCGCTTTTCTCGCGGATTCGAATGTAAACCACGGTTCCGACCACAATGATGACGAGCATCGCTGCCACGGGAAACAGGTAACCCAAGGACTTCAGCAGCGCTGAAAACCGAGAAGTATCACAGCCAGGAAATGATCAGTCTAGATCCTAGATGAGCCGTTTCCATCCGCGCTCCCATATGGAAAACTTTTTTTTTGTTAGAAAATATTTCGATACTCAGAGCCAGAACTTACGTCCTGTGTAGACACTGACGCTGGTTGTTGTCGAGAGAGCTAATACTCCATTGTGAGTGCCGTAAGCACACAAATAAATTTCGTACTCCGTCGAAGGACGCAGGTTTCGTATCGTGTGGGTCCGTTCGACTTGTTCCTGTTTTGAAGCAATGTCAGTATTTTACTTTTGGCATCCTAGGAGCTCTCAGCATCGTAGTAGTGTCTCCAATCGGAACAACCTCAACGAGTCGCCACGACACGAGCATCTGTTTCCTGCCAGCAGTGGCTTCATCGCTGCAATTGTAGGCGATCGCATAGCCATCGATCTTGAGATCCTGGGGTGACCGCAGCGGCGCATCCCATTGTAAGGTGATCGTTGTCTCATCGACAAGCGTCACGACCAAGTTTCTCGGCGGAGGAAGAGTGAGCATGTATTTTGGAGCCCTATTCTCGCTTCCACCTGGAAGAATCGTTTCACACGTAGGGGCATAACTCGAAAATTGTTTCGATTTGCAAGCTCGGACCGACTCGTCCGTGAAGCACTCAATCGAGCCCCGCATTGGACATTCATCAAACGTCACGAACTCACACTCTGCCGAGAAGACAAGCGTAGCGATCGTCAGCAAAACGAACAAACCCCTGGTATCTTTGGAACCCATCGCAGATACTCGCGTCAACGAGAGCTCACACTGCAGCTCACATCAAGGAATTTCATCGATCCTACAGAGAGGGCTCGAGGATTATCAGGATCCACAGAGAGGTCATTTCAGTTAGGTAATTCTCGGCTTATGGTGGACCCACTGCTTGATACCTATTTTAGATGCTCCCAGTGGGAAAAGATGACTCTTTCAGAAACGCAGTTCCCCCCTCCGAAGCCTCCACGGAGACGATTGCACCGTGGGATTCGCCAGACCGACTGCCAGGCCGAAGCACCGGCAATGAACGATTGGAGAGAGCTTAGCGGTTCCGATGGAGAAAAATTGAGTTATGGGGATCAGCGGAAGGAACGTTCATGTGACGTTGCCCGAAGGCCTCGGATTGGGGTAGGTGGCTCCGAGAGCCGCACCTAGTAATCAAGAAATCAGTCAGTCTTTGCATGACTCGCAGCGAGGGGCATATTTGTTTTCGGTCTACCTCGATCTTGGATTTTCCACAATTCTTGCCCTCTGTCCCCGGAAAACATATTTCTGGCGCTGAATGTCAGTCCATCGTGTCCTGTGTCGCCTGCGTTCATTTCTCATTCGCTGACGCCAATCACTGTCTGGAGGTGCTCGAGCTCCAGCTGCTTCCAGCGAGTTCTCGTCAGAGCAACAATGTTACTCATCTGTCAAGGCTCATCAGTGACGTCTTTGGGAGACTCGGGCACATGGCCGCCAGACGATATCTCGGAAAGGATATGAGATAAAATAATCTCACCGTCGGCGTCATTTCCACAGAACTGTTCCGCTAACGACATGTGCTGGTAAACCATCTACCTGATTACGATCAAATTAGTCACGATTATCGTGAAGACTAAGGGCTGCGTAAAGACCAACGAAGATTGCGGTTCCTCAACGGATCGATGAGGCATGCTTTCCGGACCATCCAACATCCATCATTGTTGCAACGTTAGCAATACGGTAACCCTGTATGGTATATGTGGTGTCCGTGGGTAGAGAAAGTCGCTCGATCCGGCCGATGCGCATGACTCGGAGCGGACTGGGACGTGACCTGTACTCCCGCCATTACGGGAGTCAAGTCGCATAGATCACAACGGTCTCGTGAGCCGGATGAAAGCAACGCCGTGACAAGCCAGTTGGGTTCGGAGTAGAAGCTGCCTGAACGGAAGATTGCAGGTCCGAATCCTGTATTTCATTGGTATCGTATCATTTCTAAACTACGACGAAACGGGTTTTCTACACTGCATTCCCAGTTTCCGGGGCGGTGGGCGACCACGAGGAGAGACTCCCGTGCGGCTGCTTCTTCATTGTGAAGCCGTGGCTGGGGAGCGAAGGCGTCAGCATTCCGAAAAGGACAGTATCGTTGGTAAATTCCGGAGCTATCGATTCAAAATGAGCTGGCCACGGATTTCGGAATCGTTCAAGGAGTTTCCGTCAAGGCATCGAAGGGAATCGAAATCCCCGTCCTTATAAACAGTCGAGTCCCAACGCCGGGATCGATCGATACAGCCTCGGCTCCTGCTCTGGTGCACTGTCGAGCTTCTCTACACTTTCAGAGTACTCGCGGCAGCCCCGCCAGATACCCGTGCGCGATTGTGATGCAATACTTTGCTTCGGAAGCTGAGAGCTCTTGAATCTAATATTGTAAGAGTTTCCGGAGGGCCTGATGAGCAGGTCCAATTATCAGACAAGACGGTATCTTCGGATGTGATTATCGCTCATCTGTATCCGTGAGGAGGGCCTGCGGGCGTCGCAGGCACTAGCGTGTAAATAGGATTCCGCGCCGCGCCTCGCTGATTGTGAGATGTAGTATTCTCTCATTCTCTCACAGAGACTTTGTGCCTTCGTCTAACGACAATGAGTCAGAGAGAATGCAATCCGCGAAGTTCTCACCGAGTGTTTTCGCCGCTGCTGCGACAATTTTTCCCCGTCGTATTTCCGAACTGATCCCTAGATATATTTGAAAGTTTCTTCATTTCCATAAGCGAGAACACAATGGAGATGCAGCAGCTTCGCGGGACGGGCATCTTCATCTGTGAGGTCAATCCAGGGCGAACCCTGACATGGGTTCTGGAGCGGAGAGTATCGCTATCGCATGAGGCCTATCGGATTCCGATAATAAGTGGAGATGACCTGAGCCATCAGGAACACGCGCTGGGATTGATAGAGATCGGTGACGGACAGACGCTCAGAAGTAACTTGCTCCTTAGAGGTAAATTTCAAGGCGCTTCTTCATACAGGCATGTTTCTGTTCCTGATCACCCTCGGATACAAGACGACTTCCTACAGAATCATGATGATTCCTCGCTATGACATAATCGATCTTCGCTCATTACAGATCGGGAAGAATATTCGGCAGTGTTCACCGGTCGTCAGAAGGGTCCCGGCTCCTAGCCGGCGGCCGATGGATTTTTTTCCCGATTCTACAGAAACTCGGACTTCGCTCGAAGCTGATCCGTACCTGACATCTGCGGTCCAGATCGTCGAGGCCCTCCTCCGATGCACAGTGATTCCGCTGACTGACACCTACCGTGCTCACAAATGTATTCTGTCTTTCTGCACAACAGATGTTCGACAGAAAACTTCGCCAAGAATAATTTCCGAGCGGGATATGCACCGAGAATGCGGAGAAATATTTTATTGACATCGGGTCGAAGAAATTGTATGCGGCCCCGGGAACGTTCAATAATCGAAGGCCGGCTTCGCTGCTCGTCGACACTCCGTCCGATGATGAGGAAAGCTAAGGTGAGCAACCGCTCAGCCATCGATGACCATTCAAATCACTGCGCAGCTTCTGCTGCATTCGGTACCACAGGCGAAGTGAGCGACTCCGGGAGCGCGAAGCGCTCTAATAAGTATAGGCCGAATCTGGAGATCGGGTCGCCCGAAGTTATCCACGACAGAGCGGTGAGTATGTAACGCATCGCGGTCCGGAACCGCGGAGTCTCCATAGTTTCTTCCGATGGACACCAGGGGGGAACCATGACGAATCTCTGGAGCTCCTCACTCACGAGCGGTTCGAGCCGCTCGGGCACCACACAAACCAGAACGTTCGCGGCGAAAGTCGCCACGGCCATCGGCGGTGCCACGATCCTAGCCGTGGAGATCATGGCGAACGGGGCTAAAAGCAGAGCCATCGTACTTCGCGAGGCTGAACGGAGTTCAAGCGAAGAATTCCGTTAGCATGAGAAACTATCACTCCCTGCGATCCTTGATGATTTTTGAATTGAGCACTAGACACTGGCTGGAGGGACTCGCTGGTCACGATTCGGACCAATTGCGTTCCGACATCTGTGGAAGCAGAGAGCAAGAGACGAAAGGGCTCGAGGGAGAAACGAACTTGAATGACGTGGTTCAGATAAGTCATGCTTCTCCCCCAGAGACATAAGAGGGAGTTTTCTGCAACTACCGCAACTCGCCATCGCTTCAAATGTCTTTCTGTTCACGCTACAGCTTGGCCGAAACACATCAGGATCGTGTCGAACGATGAACTCTCGGAAAACTGTGCCCGCACATCGGGAATCGGGGGCAGAATGGCACATGGATGCAAGCTCGGTCATCGATTTCGAGAGTCACTTCTCGCCGAAGAGGGTCCTAACGGGGCAGAAGGCCTCGTAGGATTCGAAGGACGCGAAATGAAGCCTGATTCCAAAGGATCGATGATCGATCTTTTCGCGAGCCGCCTCCGAATCTGGGTCGGCACGTGTAGTTTTTACTCCGTCCGAGGATCAGACTGACGTCAAAAGGTGACTTCGGCATTCTTAGTCATCATATCAATCCCAGGTGTGCGGTCCCGGAGCGATTTTCACAGCTGTTTCAGCTCGCTCGAATCGAGTCACATCGAGAAACTAGGGAAGGCCGCAGTACCTGCGAACAGCTCTCCGTGATGACTGATCAGATCAGCTCTTTCAATGTTAGAGTATAAGGCCGAATTCTATCGAAATGCATTGACCTGAATGTACATAGTAGGGTGCGAGAGTGTGAATATGCCTCGAAAGCTGGGGAAGGGTTCCCTGTTCAGGCAATCGGACTAGAACTGTCAAGAACGAGATTCGTGTTGCCCGGAACGCCCTCACACATAGTTGACGCGGAAATTCGGGAGTAGAACCGAGGATCCGGCGGCTGGCCCGCTCGTCCCGTTGTCCGAAAAACTCCTCGTAGAGTATCCCAGGTGTGAGGAGCATCTTGCGTCTGACTCCGGCATCTATGGACAAGTGGTGCCGCCGCTGAGAGATCTCACTCGGGTTTCCGATCGCAATTTGCGCATTCCGTGTCATTATTCTCCGACTAATGTTCGCAGCCGAGCGCGGATGATGATGATCCCCGAGACTGCTTGAGCTGATTCAGGTCTACCGGAAAATAACAAAATTTTCGTAGCCGAACAGTCTCTCCCTTGATGAGCCTATCTCATCGCTGCGAGAATTCCCCGTCGCGCCTCCGAATACACTTGGAGGATCGAAAGTTGAAAGGATTTCCATTCTCGGCCAGATCGGAGACCGAGCCCATCCGGTACTCCTACTAATTGAAAAATTCGAATGCCAAAGGATTATCAAGAGACAGCTTGGTCCCATATTTTTTATTGAAATCTTTCTTCCTCCGCAAACGGTGTGAGAAGGTCATGGGATGTTGTAGTAGGCACAGATGAAGCACAGGGGAAATGTTCGTTCCGTCATGAGAATATTATTCTGTCGTTTCTAGAGATCTATTTCTTGCAGGGCCGCACATGAGTCACGTTGAGGTCCTCTATTTAGCAGGAGAGAATTGCTGAAGCACAGATACGTCCGATTGTCAGTATCAATCATAATAATTTTACCGTACTTGCATTTCTCAGATCAGCTCTCCGTCGATCTCTGTCGTACCCACCTCGTTCTCTTTCTGTATAGGATATACCCGGCGTACGAGAGTCCGCACAGAAGCGAAATACCGAAAACACTGAGCATTCCGGTGAGGATACCCGCCGATGAGGATCCTGAAATGAATGAACCGTTCTGAATATTGTACTGTCATAAGACGGGGAACTTCCGCGGCTATCTCTCCGGTCCAGCAGAAAACTAGATATCTTCAATCGGTGTACCTTCTGTCGACGCCGTGAGGACTCCCACAGACGAGTACATCGGATCACTCAGTGCGTTCAAGTTGAAAGCTCGAACGTGAATCAAGTACTCCGTCCCCGCCGCCAGGTCTTTCAACTCGGTGAAACGATCCTGACTGTTTGTTCTTGACCACTCGGAGGGAGTTCCCCCGGACGCTTTCACCATGTACGCGAACTCGTAACCATCGATCGGACCATTGGCTGCTTTGGGGATCGTCCAACGAATGCTCATAGAGGTCGCATTCGCTTCCACCAGCATCACATCTGGTGGACCTGGATCTTCGGGGTGAAGGAAGAACGTGACTTGTAGATATTGTCTTATGTAGGCGACGATACTTCGGAAACAGAAGAGTCATTGGCCCGATCATTCAGATGAACTCACTGGATGCGTCGGTAGTCACCATGAATTTCCCGGGTTTACCACACGGTGATAAGTCTCCATCGACACAGCTCGAGACTTCGACGTGGTATTCGGTGTAAGGAGTCAGAACGGAAAGATCTAAAAGCGGCTTTTCGTCGCACAGTTCCGTCTGTGATAAATCCGTCATCGACGTAGCGAGGACCTTATACCATGTGACGTTGAATCTCGGATCTTTGACCTCCTCCCAGTGAATTCTGGAGCGGCCCTCGATCACAGTCTTCTCAAAGTTTTCTGGTGGCGGGGGACCTACGAAGAGATTCGAAATCAATTTTGATTCTCCGCGGCGGTTCCCGCATACGCGAGAGTTGTCTTTCTCGTTCCCACTTTCCCGCCTTCAGATGGAGATTAGACGAGCTGCGATTACCTTTCCCCAGGGTTTTGACGTAAGCCACTGAGTTCCAGCCGATTCTCTCGGCTTTCTTGTCGAATTTGTCCAAATTGTAAGCTCGAACTGCCACCTTATATCTGGAAAAATTGAAGATTTCCCGTCAGGAAAGGGCCGATCCTCTGATCAGGACAATTCTGGTCGTCCCCAGTTTCACGTTCTCCCATGATAATCAGAAGACACTCGACCTCGTGTACTCTTCGTCGACTGTGACCGTCAGGTTATTCTGTGACGTCCTCAGGGTGATGGCTTCGTTGGGCTCCCGAGAGTCACCAAAACTGATGTCGACAATGTATCCATTGATGGGACCTCTCGCGTCCTCAGGTTTCGACCATTCTATCTTCAGAGTCCTCAAGTCGACTTGAACTCTCGGTTCGGAAGGCATTCCGGGCACTACAAATGAGAGAGGGTTTATCTAGAGAAGACTTCGGTCCCTTCAAAGCAGACTTCAGTTGATTTAAGGGAGACTTCTGCTCATCTGTCGATCAACTCTTCAGGAGTCGTTCTCATCAACGACGATACTCGGTAGCTCCATTGATCCTTACCGCCTACGTTCGTCTCGAAGGAGAATTCGCTCTCTACCCCCACGAGGTCATTGATACAGAGACGAGCCTTCCTGGTCACTCGCTGGTCGTAGCGATAGTCAACGATAGAGGACTTGGTGCCTTTCTTCCGACACGTGGACGAGTAAAGCCCAGCCTTGTTTGCGAGCTGATATCCGATGTTCTCAAGATGGCTCACGAATGAGGGATAGCTCACTTCAACATCGTAGATTCCATCTTTTTGGAAGCTCGTCTTGACTGCCGTAGGTTTGGCTTTGAGGAAAGAATTCAATTATTTCCAAGTAGAATCCCAACAGGAGAAGATTTTCTCGGCTTGGAGGACCGAGGGAGTACTGCCTGTGGCATCAAATTGTTTTGCACTCTTCTCGGAGTCGAGACTTACGTAAGGAGAAAAAGCTGAAGGTCTCCACGACAGGCTGAGAGCAGACTAAATCCTCTCTCAGATCCTGCAGGCAGGATGAAACGCTGACATTGCACTCCGTTTTGTATTCCTTGATTTTAGATGAACTGAATTCAATCTCGACAGCGGTCGTCTGCCTGGAAGGTGGCACATCCGTATGTATCTCCGGAACCCCGATTATTTGTCCCGGGATCGAACCGAAGACGGTTGCAATCGGCTTCTCGCGGGGGTTCCAGAATGGATGGGCGCGCATGAATTCACCTACCACGTGTTGGTCTCGAGACAGACAGTCTTGACTTTGTATCTGATCGTTCCATGGTCCGAATCGATTCTCGACCACCTCGCCGTGATTGTATTCCTATAGGGCTTCTGACCCGCAATAAGTCCAGTGACTTGAGGAGGCGCTGGGAAGAGAATAGAGTGACCATTGAGAACTGGGACCAAGAATCCGGATGCCTTTCAGGGAAGGGGACCGTCCGGGAATGGCTTCCGGAGGATTGTGAATGGAACAATTTTCACCTGGAAACTTGGGATACACCGAGATGGCAGTGGGCTCCGAGTGGAAAACTTCTCCTTTGTACTCCCTGACAACTTTCACTTGCACTTTGTAGCCGCTTGCACGATCGAGACTGTCGAGATTGAGTTCCAGAGCTTTGAGATCCGTGGATGCGACGAATCCGTCTCCTCCGATCTTGGTCCACTGCACGTTGAAATCCGTATAGATTTGATTTTTCGGGACGGTCCATTTGACGACGACAGAAGTCTCACTTAGAGCAGTGTATTCTATTCTTTCGACCGGAGCCAGAACTGTGGATTCATCTTTCTCAGTTTCTTGACCGGGGCAGGAGCCGCTCGTCGAGGATCCTTAGATAGTATCTTAAGGCTCGAGACCTATCCAGCTACAATCAAGAAGGAAGAGCCGATATTAATGGAAACCTTAGAGGATTACCTTCGTTTGTAGTGTACTGAAGGAATTCCGATTCGACGGTGACGAAGAGGCCTTCTTCGAATCTGCATTCACTTCGGACCCAAGCAGTGTAATTTGTGTACGGAAGTGTATCGAATGTGGTTGAGCGAAGGTTCTTGTCGCTTATCTTGCGATCTGAGCATCGTTTCCGGTCCGAACATATCATTGCCACGAAGTAGCATGTTTCGGCAGCCTCGGGAGGCACAAGGACGTCCCATGTCAGCTGTAGTTTGTAGTCGGGCTCAAGGCTCTTCAATTTCAAGACAGGTTTCAACGCATCTGGAGAATGAGGTCAACGAGTCAGTCATCGGAGTTCTTCGAGAGACTTCTGGAAATTTCCGGAAGCCACTTCGATCCTGAGATTGAGGTCTGCGATGGGTTCTCGCGACCTCCTCTGAGAAAATTACTGAGAGCATTCAAACCTTTCGTCGCGGTGATGACTTTCTTCTCATCCGAAGTCTGATGGTACATCTGCTCAGCTCGAATGTAGGCGGTCAAACTGACGACATACTCCGTCTGAGGCTTGAGGTCCCGGAGTACGACGCCTTTACTCTCCGGATTATCCACTTCCTCAGTTGAGACCTTACCGCTCGAGACCTCTTTCAAGGTCACTTTGAACAACAAGGGCAGTGTCAATGTCGATGTCCGCTGTGACCAGAGGACCACAGCGGTTGTGCCGGTGACGGACGCCAATTTGACGATTTCAGGCTTCGGGACCTTCAGCTCTAGCAACCAAAATTGATTTTAGCGAGTCTCCGATCCGCCAGATTCACTCCTGGATTGAGGCTTTCAAGGCGGAGTTCAACGGGGTCTTCGGATGAAGAATGCGGACTGGAAAGTCGCTGTACAGACCTCCGATGTGGGTGAAAAAATGAATTCTCCGACCGACGGACTGAACGGAATCTGTTCCGTCCTTATAAACGGCATGAACAGTCGCATTGAAGCTGCGGTAGCGTGGCAACGGGGGAAGCCGAAGCTTGGTTCCGGGGGTCGCAATGGTATTTATCATTCGCTTTTCCACGAAGTCGTACAATTCCACGAAGATCCCGTAGAAAATTTTGTCACCGACACGCTTCGGCTGCGAGGGAAAATCAGAAGGGGTAGTATTCCTTTGCTCCACGAGGGATTTACGGACAATCGGGACCGTTTCTTGGAAGGTTCTCAGGGCAATCGGCACTATCAGGCAAAGTTCGTGAAGTGGAGGTCCTACCTCCAAACACGTCAAATTGACCAGGATTTCGTTTTCCGAAGGACCAGGTTCCATGGAAACATCGGGGGTCTCCACGGGGGGGAAAAGTTTCTCTGAAAGAGAAAATTCCACCAATCACGCAGGGCCCTTGCGTTTGACGAAATCCTTGATCTCTGCCTCAATCCCCCCCCGTTCTTTGAGACCGTGAAGAGGACCGTTGTGGCTCTATGAAAACGTCTCACTCGCCCTTCGGCTCTTTCGCTGTTTTCTGGGTTTTTAGGATCTTACCGTCGGCCGGTCCGCTCGTGAAATTCCTCTTGATTGCCAAACTGCTGTATTTCAAATCCGCTTGTTTCTTAACGAGTCGTGCGGAGACACTGTACAGTACTCCGAGTTTGAGGTCGGTGAGGGTGTTGCTGATCTGGAAGAAGCAAGGTATGGCAGACTATTCGTGCTCATACTCCGTGGTTCGGACCAGAATGAGGAAAAATCGCGATCCGACATTTTTCACCAGAAGGAATCGTGTCGACGAACGTCCGTATCGCCTGAGCTTACTTCTTTCGTCGGGATGTTCTCGGCCTGACGGCAGTTATTTGCGAGTACGTCGCAAACAATCAATTCTACACTGTCCGCCACTTCTTGTGACGCCTTGTTTGGGAAGACGTACGAAACGATGGTGGAGTTGTTCCCTGGTACCACAGATAAGTATTGCAGCGGGAGCAACTCTGGAAATGTATAGAACTTCGCAATTAGAGAATCCCCCTCCCGGCTTCAACGTCCGGGTTCTTGCCTCGCCTCTCAGACTCTTGACGAGAAGAGAAGAAATAACTCCTCACCTCCTGGCCCTGTGTTTGCGAAGAATTCTTGAATTTTCACCCATGTTCCAGCGCATCGACCTTCGATAGTTATCTTATAGGATGTCCAGAAGATCACAGGGATTGAGAAACCATTCGTCACCTCGAACTCCGTTCGATCCGTGTTGTGTTGAACGCAAACGGTGCCCAGACAGGCGGTGACACGGTAGGATGGGGGCGTCCCCTTACAGACGTATTCCTCCCACCAAAGCTCAATCGCCGCTAGAGGTCCGTCGGCAATGACGTCGAAGCCTGATCTTGAAGCGTCTGGTGGTTCAGAGGTAGAGATTTACAACCGGGGAAATTCAGATTGACTGCAGGCGCATGAATCGTCAGACCCTTGGGATTGAATGGTGTCTTGAGTCGTTCAAGAGCGCAGAACTTTGCTGCGGAGGGGAGAGAACACGAACCTCCGCTTCCGCTGAAGAAGGTCACCTCCCGACCGGCTGATAAGATCGAAGAGCCATTCTGTTTGTAGAGAGCGTGGGCCGTAGCTGTGATGGTGCAATGGAGCGGGAGTGCCGGAATAATCACTTCGGGAACATTGGAATCGGAAGAGCGGTACTCAAGATATTGGTCATCTTCGACATCGTAGAGCTCCACGAAGATCCCTTCGAATTTCCTTCCAGCCTTGTCCACCGGCTGCAAAGTTGAAAATGGAGTTGACACGTCTTACACAGTCGGCCACCGATTTACAACTTATACCTACGACTCGAAATCTCTCCCAGGACGCTGTGAGTCCGAAAGGCTTCGATCTCACCTTCAAAGATCTGATCGTGGCTTTGACGTGGTCCAACACCTCACTCGGCTCTATTTCGACCGTGACATTTCCGACACGCGGGTACTCGTTCTCTGGAAAATCGTTTATACTTGGTATTTAACCCTCTCGATGATCGAGAACTGAATTCACCCTCCCTAGCCTGAGCCAGAAGTCTTGCTAGGGTAAATTGATGATGATCAGCCGGTCGCTGAGCTCACCATCCGGGTATCTCGCGACAAACATCCTCGAGGCAACTCCACTCCGATAGGTCGATCCATTGAATTGTTTCGCCAGAACTGTGCGGAAATCGTACAGAACACCGGTTTTCGGGCTCTCGAGCGTGTAATTGGCCTAGAAATTTTCGGAAACGTCTTCAATCATTCCAGGCGGGCCCGGACTTCAGACGACTTCTCGACGCGCCGTTTCATCGCTCCCGGAATACGGTGGGTTATACGAGTGAGAGTTTCGGCTCTCGATTAAGGAAGTCCGGTAGGACCGCTATCTTGGAGGTTTCCGAGAATGGTTTCGACGGGTCTTTCTAGATCGCTCTCTCAACAGAACTTTGACAGGCGGGAATAATTTTCACCTGCCGACTGCCGAGACATCCGACTAACCTTCTCTATCGGTAAAGTGATCATTTCGGAGCAAGTATCGGCGTAGAAGTCGCAGACGACTAATTGCAGGGTTTCCGCGACGTTTTGTATTTTCTCATCGGGCTTCACGAAGGAAATCTCCATGGCGTCGGCGCTTGCAGTCATCGTGACCTTCTGCAGTGGAAGCAATTCTGGAACGAGGAAGATCGATCCTCAACTCCTCGAATTCCCTCCGCCCGAAGCTCCTACACCGGCTCGTCAAGAACCATGGCTCACCTCCAGGTCCCGTATCAGCGGAGAGGTGTTGAATTTTCACGAAGGGTCCATCGCAAGCCGCTTCGACGATTATGTTGTACACATTCCAGAACACAATAGGGAATCGTGGATCATTCTCGAAAATGTAGGTCGTCGTGTCTGTCAACCGCGTTATGCAGTTCGAGTCTTCCCGACACAAGGTCAGCTGGTAGGATGCTGCGGACTCCATACAAGTAACTCCCTGCCAGAAGACCCCAATATTGACAGTCGGGCCGTCAGAAGTCAAGTTGAATCCGAATTTAGAAGTGTCTGGAGAAGAAATCGGAAGATTTACGTCCGAGGCGAATATATGACAAAACGATCAGGGCGCTCAGAGGGAGGAATCGACGTCCCGAGGAACGGATTCCCGAGCAGTTTCACAAGCTCGAGATACGGAGCTAGAGGAAAAACTTCCAAATCATATGCAAAGGTCGTGAATACCCTCGATTCCAGAGAAGAAGGAGGATTTGCGGTCAGGTGATTGGACCAGCATCCCGGCCACTTGATACAGAGCGCGTACGGTCACATTGAAGATTCGGTACGACGGCACTCCCGAAAGGGTCAAAGTGGTCCCGTTCGTCGTGAAGCTGCTGATCTTCTGCGCATTCGTGTAATCGATCAAGTCTACAAAGAATCCCTTGAAGACGTTTAGCCTTCGGCTGGCCGGCTGTGAAGAGGGAGTCTGAATCGAATCGAACTCTCGAGGACTAGATGAGCTCGATCTTATACATCTGGAGTTCATTCAAATCGATGAAGAACGAGTAGTGATTCATAATTGGGAACGAGTTTCAAACCTTCGTACAAGTGACCGTGACTTCGACGGTGTCCACGGAATCGCTCGGTCCTACTGCGATAGAAATGCTCCCCACACGGGGGAGATTATTCACTGAGGAGGGAAATTAGGTGTTCATCAGCACGGTTCGTTCTCTTGTGAAATTCAAGCCGGTTCTGTTCGTGAGAGCTGAAAACTCACCCTGCAGTGCCGTAGTGAACAAACTCGTCAGAGCTTGGCTGGTGTAAAGGGCCGCTACGGGGGCTCTAAGACTCTTGGTTAGACGCGCTGCGATAGTGTATACATGTCCGTCTTCGAGATGGGCGAATCTGAAACCGTCCTGGAATGATTCCGTAAGTATAGAAGGCTGAGCGACGGCGGCGGCCCCAAGATCGGTCGGCCTTCGATGCATTTGGTTCGGGGACTTAATTGATATTCCCAAACGTCTCAAGCAAGCCATCATGTCATCCCGGATCGGACTCACCTCCTCAATCGGGACGTTCTCCACTGCGGAGAAATTCCCATTGAGGACGTCTGTGATTTGTAACTCGACTTTATGCGCCACGTTCTGCAGTCTCTTGTCGGGCTTCGTGTAAGAGATGTTGACCGCATCACCTTCCGGGATCACGGTGATGCTTCGCAGAGGGAGCAGCTCTGCGGGGAAGGAAGGGGGAGTTTCATAATCGTGCCCCGTGCATCAGCATCTTCGGAGATTGCCTCCGATTGAAAAAGATTGGGCGGAAACCAAATCTCACCTCCGGGTCCCGAGTCCGCAACAAAGTCCTGCAATCTCACGAATGGGCCGCCACCGCAGGCTCCCTCGATGGTAACGTTGTATGACGTCCAGAGAATGAGCGGGAATTCAGGAGTGCTCTCGAAAGTGTATTTCATCTCCTGTGTAGTGCCCTCGATGCAGTCGGATTTCCCTCGACAGAGGGTTAGCTTGTACCGGACTTCCCCTTCCTTGCAGAGCTCTTTCTCCCAGAATACGTGGATCTTCGCGTACGGCCCCTCAGCGTCGACAGTGAAGGAAGCTTCTGCAACATCTAGCAGCGGAACAGATTCAGTCTCCCACGCTGAGCCCAATTATGAAATTCATGATACTTCCCGCAGGATGCCTTTCAGAGCGGAAGGGAGAGTGGACGGAATCTGTACTGACCTCCGGCTCCGGAGAAGAAGGCGAGTTCCTCAGGGCGTGACAAAACTATTCTCCCCCCGTCCCCGTGCACCGCATAAACGGTGACGTTGCAAATCCGATGGAGAGGAACTCCTGGGAACGATAGTGGCGCCCCATATGATTTGAAATCTCCGCGTCTCTGCCCATCGTAGGTGTCGTACAGCTCAGCGAAGACTCCTTTGAAATTTCGATCAGCGATCCCTGATGGCTACAAGAATGAAATGGGGTCAAGTCAACATAGAAGATGTGCGATACGCCTCGTACTCCAGCGGTCTCTGCACACACCAATCCACTCAGCAGTGAAGTTTCGTGAGGACGGAACAGTGTGTCTTACCCGTGAGTACGAAACTGAGACCTTGACGAGATTTTCCTCGATGCCGTTCCTACTGATTCCGCTCTCGGGCTCGAGGGAGACCGTCAGGTTCTCGACCGGGGAGTAATGCTTCCCTGAATGGGGAGGGGAGACATGATCTCATGATGCAAATACGAACTGAGTACATAAAGCAATCGAGCCCTGAATCGGAACCCAATCGAGGGAATCTACGTTCAATACGTCTTCGCTTTCGGGGGAAAGGTCGTTGGTTCTTGCAAAGTAGGAACTCGGAGTTACGTTCAAAGAACACACCAATTGAGAATGCTGTCGTGAAAATGTCTGTCAACGCTTGACTCGTGTACTCGGTTGAATTTTCCTGCCTCACACGGATAGCGGACACGTTGTAAAGCACTCCGGGCTCCAGGGGCGAAGTGAAATCGGTCTGGAACGGGTTAGCGACGATGGTGAGACAATCATATAGGTTTTGATGACCGCGGAAGCCGATTTCGCTCCGAGATCTCAAAGGGCGTCGCTTTATGATTCGAAACTGAGTTGTTTACATGTCGAACTCACCCTTGGGGACGGTAGAGATTCCTCAATCGAGCAGAAGTCGGCAACGTTGAGTAGATCGCAAACTTTCACTCGAATTGCTTGGGCCGCATCTCGGGATGAGCCTTCCGGGTTCGTGAAAGAGAGGCGAACCTCGGTGCTATCAGAGGCCACGGAAAACTTCCGCAACGGGAGCAGGTCTGGGGTTATGATTAAGACATTAGTTTATGGATATCGCTCCGTCAGTTGTCCGAGCGTGGCGAGGGCAATGTCCGACATGGACGAACTCGTATCCATGAGCATCTCCAACGGATCCCCGTCCTTCGTATCGTACCTCCAGGCCCAGTTTCTACACGGAAAAATGTCACGTTTTCCGATTTTCCTGCGCATTCCGCTGCGACGCCGATGGTGTATTCGTTCCAGAAAGCGATTGGGAAAGGGACTCCGAATCCAGCTTTGACGGTGTAGTTTGATTGATCTGTGACAGCCGGTGTACAGCGCTTGTCAAGACAGATAGACAATGAGTAGGTCGGCGAACTTTCCGGGCATGGATATTCATTCCACCATAATTTGATTTCAGCGTTCGCCCCCTTCGGGATCACGCTGTGACCGTTCCCCGGAGCATCTGGTGAATAGACGTAAGAGCTTAGCTGCTTCCCTCATGCAGATAAACCCTGATGAGCTGAAGCATCCCTCGCGTTTTCCTTCCAAATGGAGGAACTCGTTGGCGAAATCCATCAACGAAAATACGAGCTCCTCGGAGACGTTTCCAGAGAGCTCTTTGTCTCTCCTTCTCTCCGGGGGAGCTCATGGTGTGGAATGAGCTTCCAGACCGGAGTTTACCTTGAGCCGCTGCCGCGATGACCGCGCCTATTAGTAGGGCAAGAATCGACTTTTTCATCACATGGACACACACTCACGGATACCAAGAAAAGTGTGCTCAGACCGATGCATCGAACGCCCCAGTACCCGTTAAGAATCCTTCCGGCTTAGTCGACTAATCCACAGAATGAGAGGGCCCACCAAGGAGCCTATCACGAGGCGTTGGGCATTCTAGTAGGCTTTGCCATACGTTATCTCTTTGTAAAGCCGCGAAATTTTCGACAATTTTCTCAGTCGGGAAATTCGTGAAGGGAGAAGGTACATACGAAGATGCATGAATCTTCTCGAGGAACATTGACTTGGAGAAGCACTGGGAAGGCCTTCGCCAGACGTTCGGGAGCGGGATCGGCTCCCTCCAATGACGTCATCGAGACCCAGCTCAATATTCCATCTTCGCTCGGAGCCCGGTCGTCATGATGACATCTCCCGAGGGACCGCTGTTTCCGGTTCCCTCTGGTTAGTGGAATAGAGAGAGCGCTGAAGCTCAGAACTAATACCGGAGAAGGATATCCACCGTGGATAATCGCTCATCTCTCTTTCGGAACCGGAGGACGCCCGCTATGAGCCATCGGCTGTTGCGAAGGTGAGGCGCATTCCAAGTCCGAGGAATTCCTGGAATAGAGCAGTCCGGGTCTAAACCTAGCTCACGAGAGCTGAAAATTCAGTAAACTGCTCCTATACAGCGGATCCTGTTCCAGCGATACCCCCGCGCCGCCCTTCTTCGAGCGAGGGCAGCTCAGAACTCAGGGTCCTCTGAGGCGACAGTCGAATAATTCGCCGCAGAGTTACAACGTGAAGGGTCGACCAGTTTTGCTGCATTTGTTCACCTCGGAGAGAGTCCCATATAACTGGGGATGCGACATGAGACGCAGTCCTACGTCAGAATCCGCGTACCGAGCCGTGCGACACGTGATTTGATGACCGATGAAGCGCGAGAAAGGGTGGGGACATGACCAATGATGGAATAGACTCAACAAAGGGGAGCTTCAATCTGAATGCTTTCAAGCCTTTTCAAAATTCGCGATGCTTCAACATTTCTCAGGTTTCTTGGAAGTTATATCTCTGAACTGAATCCGTCAAGCTTCTCGGAAAGTTGTGCTTTAGTACGTTTCTTCCGTAATTTTCCAAGAGGCCCCGGGAATCGAGATATCGTCGTTCCGGATTCCAGGTGACGAATTTTCGCAATGAGCCAGCACGAAGAATAACAAACGGCGTCGCTCATTATTTCATTGTGGGATACGACTAAAAACTCGGCAGCGCCTTTGACGATCAGAATTCGGGGGAGAATCTTTTCTACTCGTCTCGACGCCGCGCAGTCAGTCGGATATATGCCGATGGTCGCCCCTCTCGTTAGCCTCGCTTTCACCTCCACACCCATCTCGTTGTCCTTGGTCTCGAACATCACCCTAAATTTCTGATCACTCCCCTCCTTAAGTCATTTTTCCTTCGGTGCCCAGCTTGTGATGGGCTTAGCCTGGCCGAACGTGCGAGCGCGGCTGCCCGCGATTCTCTCGCGGGCCGAGAGCCTCTCCCTCGAGTACCCGCTCCGAGGCCAGTCATCGATACCTTCTCACAGGAGAGCGAATGTATCGTCGCAGAGATAACGGGTGGAGTTTTGATTGTTCCTCGCCGAGCTCCCTATAGAGCCACTCCTGTGGCTACTGGTGAGGTGTGAGGCTGATTTGGAAGCGATAGTAGAATTAGCCGATGAATAGGATGGCGGGACCACTATATCAGTGTCTTCAACTCGAATAAGGGCAGGCTTCATGCCGAGAACCGATTCGTCCAGTCCCCATCTTGTCCATGGTTTCTTTAATTTTTGATCTCATTTGCAGCACCCCGGAGTGATTCCATCCGGCGGAAAATCAGCCCGTATGTGGCACATGGAAGCAACAGTTTAGAACCCTCACAGCAAGCTACGTAGGGATGACAATGAGAGAGATAAAGTTTCACTGGTCTGGATAACCCTGAGGCTTATCGATCGACGCTGCGAATGAAGGACGTACGAGAAGTAAAGTCATTCAAATCCCGAACGAGTATCCTGAGGAATTATAAACGCTCGCGATAGCAATATACTTCCGTCGAGAATCTTCCACTCGGAATGACAGGTTCCATCCGGTTTCGATCTTGCATTACGCTTATCGCCTGTTATTCGTGTCAGACGCGCTCACGGATGTCAAGCTCGAATCTCGTCCCCCGCCGTGCCCTAGTCTCTGACTCTAAAGCCATCGATGCTGACCTCATCCTGGCTCGTGTTGTCAAGCGTTCAATCGAACTCTCTTAGTAGGCTCCAAGGCCGATGACTTTCTTATCCTCTACCATATCTCGATCTGGAGACGGAAATGCGAAACGAGCATTTTCTCACGTTTGGTCCGAGCACATCGGGATTTCCTCCCATGAATTCACTCCCTCCGATAATAATGAGGAATTCGAAAAATGGAATCGCTCCGCTCAAGCAAACACAACGTCATTATCAGAGAGTGGATGCCATCGAGCGGACCCGAGAATTACTGCTCACCGGAGCTCTCTTTCGGAACTATTTCCCGAAATGACTCGGGAGAGTTTTTCGCAAGACAACTCAGGAGAAGGGACGATCGCCGAGGACTTGGATCCTATCAGCAGCGGCACTTTCGTGTCGATTCTGGTACGCCCATCGCCTTTACAGGATGCCGACAACCATATCCCAAACTTTCCAGATTTACCGCTTTTCTCTGGGAGACTCATTCGATGGAGGCTTTCTCTATACACTCGGAGCCGAGTATAATCCCCCGATGCTGCCACGGCGTCCTGGATTCTGGAGCTAGACTCCGGACGCTCACACAAAATTCATTGCATGAATCGTAACGCATATTTCCCTGTCTTTTCGACAATGACTGCATTATTCGAGGAGCTGGAATATTGATATTGTATGTTCCTTATCCATGGTATCTCTCGCCGGGGCGGCCCCGTCTGGTTTCGCCCAAACCGGCACCAACGACATCGGACGGTGACGAGGGAACGTTTCCTACGTTGGACCTGGCTTCCTGGGAGGGTCGGCATTCTGAAGCTTCAGCCCGTCCAAGATGGAGTCTTTCTCCTGAGCAATTCCGTATATGCGCCCGCTCGAGGAGACTGACGACGGAGCATCGCCTTCTCCAACCTTGAAGTAGCTCAAAGCACGATATATTGAAATGAGTGATTTTGTGGTATATTCGACCTAGATCAATCGAATATCGTGTTTTGACTGCTTTTTGCGATGGCCCAGATCAATTAGTTCATACAGGGTCTAGACCCCATGTCTTATATGAGATCACGAGAGTGAGAACTCACACAGAAGACAATCTCCGGAACAGATGATGAAGACGAGCATCTGGCGCAGAATTTCCGCCTCAGCCCCCCAGGGACTCGGAGCTGCTATTCGATTGCGATCAGCGAGCTCTAGGATTGATGGGCTCATGAGCGCATGTCAATTAATTGGAACGAAGATTCCTTCCGACCTCGACTACGTGTTCGGCGCCCATGACTAGAAATATCCAAAGCAGGAGAAACTCCCTACGAACGAGCACGAGCCTACGTTTCAGATGTCCCTGCGTTTCACTTATTCCCGGAATCTCATCCAGTCGACCCCTTACGCAACTCCATAAGGGAATCATTATTGCGTACCTGCGCCTCCGAAACGAATTATCACGCGCCCTTCGACAGAGGCTCTTTCGAATGTCGTAGGCCATCTGAGATAACAGCCGATCTGGTATGAACCGAATCTGTCATTCTCGAGGGTCGGTTGAAAGGTTTTTCGGATCTCAGTTGACTATTCATCATTCCATTCTTCAATTTTGAGTACCTGCACGGGGTTTTGCATTGCGAAAATATTCATGTTTCCTCACGCTGACTGACGTCGGATCGACGCGTTCCCAGATTTCATCGGATCGCACGCCGTGCGTATTCTGACGGTCCAGCTCGATATGATCAGGTTTGAATGTAAAATACGAATCATGGTCCTCGACAATAATTATCAGTCTCATTCCAGCTCGAAGCGCCCGCTCGAGAACCCGGAACGTTCCATCTGTGAGATTCGTTCGTCATCCACCAACAACCGCATTGCAGTTATTCTCGTCTTTGTAGCGCGCACCCAATTGATCCACTGATTCTCCAAAGTAGCCTAATCCTTTCGGGCGAAACTGGGAAAACAGGATCTCACACCATGAAAACATTGCCGTTGCGGGCGGTGTATTCCATCTCTATGGGGCCGATCCCGAGGGATGTCGAATTGGAGCAGTGAGATTAATCTCCCTATCTCCGTAAGATCTTCCCCGGCTGCAGCACTTGGCTCCCGAGTCGCCTCGACTCAGGCAACTTGTTCACCGCGAAAGATTCGGAATGTTCGAGCGTCCGATGCATTTGGTGACTCTTTTATGCGAGAAATCGTCATGAGATCGTTCTCCTGCCATGCCAAGTGTTTCGCGGGTCAAGGCTAGAATCGGAGAATATTCCCGGAAGGGATCGCCGCGCGTGAACAGGGAGGACCACGTGAAAATATTGTTACTTCTGCGGACTTGGATTGAGGCCAGGTTGAATATTCTCCGTGACCGACAGAAGGTCTGAGATTCCGCTATCGAAGGCTTTCGGGGAAGCTCGGTATCGCCACGCCCTCAGTATCGCATTTCCCGGTGTCGAGTCCCGTGAAATTCATGCATGATCCCACCACATCGCACCGCGGAAATGCCGCGAATATTTCGACAAGCTTTTGAAAATTCTCGAAGATCGGGTCCCTTATCCAACGGACTACGTATGGGGACGCGAGTCCACGATGAAGATCTCTCAATAGTCTGTGAAGGGCTAGTTCTCTCGGACCCCGGCCCTATCAATCTCGGAAGGAACCGCTGTCTCACACCTTCGCGTTTGGATACCATTCGGAAGGGAGGATCAGGGAGGGTATACATCCCCTGTGGGTCTTCTTCCCGATGAAAAGCCTATATTCTGATTTCTTCCTCGACGCTACATAGCAAACGTTTCTCCCTTCGCAGGGTGGGCCCTCGCGAGAGGGCAAAGACTGTTTGAGGTGCGGAAAGCCTCATGCATATGTTTCAGCCC